GAAAAGAATACAACCATACAAGGACACGAAGAATTACATAGAAGAACGTTTTCTTCAAGCACATCTCGATTTTTCGCATGACTATCCTAATCGCTGATTAATGACCGATCATCGTATGTTTGTATACTGTTAACAATAATTCACGCTTTGATAAAAAAAAAGAATGTATAATATAACATATGTTACCAAACAAGAAACATTAAAAACTAATGATAACTTGTAATTGTATAACAAACGGATGATCGGTTTCAAGGACGTGTGATTTCATCGCGTAGCCGCGCACATTACGATTATACATACCGAAATATATATACATATATACATATATATATACACATATACATAGAATAAATTGAATGACAATTTACGTAGGTGTGATTCGCTGCTTGGCGCTAAGATAGTTAGGATGAAATTAACAAACATTAACAGTAAAAATGTGTATAGCTTGATGTACGAAAGTCCCCCTACCTCACCCTGTTTCCCTCTAAAGTTTAAACATGCAATGCATATTAAAACTTATTCGTATGTATACTAAAACTTAAAAGCCCGTTACGTATCGTCTTTTTTCTCAATGATAGAACGATTTTTCACAAACAGAGAACAGAAAAATCGATGGAATGTTAGATAAAGCCAAAGAGGCATTATTTATACAGGGACCCAAATTTGAAACTTTTACAGAGATTTACGTTTCTATCGGTAGATTTAATTGCGCGCCATGTAGAGATATAACAGGGTGATTGAAATATGCGCGCGTTTAGTTATGTAGAGTAAACGAGAGTTACATTTTGTGTGCTTAAAATTCATGTGAACTGGGTCTTTAAGTACGTCTCACCTGTTACTTCTTTTTTCAGTCTACTGTCGTTGAAAAAAAATCGATCGTGTAAAAAATAGCATTCTGCGAACTGAATATAAAAGCTGTTAACGCACTGAAGAAGGCGAACAGTATCAGTACCAAGGAAACGCATGTAAATGGAAAATACAATATGTGATTTTTTGTAATATTACAATGTTAACAAAACGTGGGTTGACAGATGGAGAAATCAGTTAGAAAATGAAATCTGAGATGTTTGATAAAATAAAAGCAACAAAAAATGAAGAAAAAGAGAGAACGGATTTCAAAATGAACACCAAGTTATATTATGTAAATTGTGGCGTGTATGACACGCATCTATGAGATATTGTAAATATTGAAATGTAATTGGGGGTTTTACACATTTTTAGACCGAAGCGTCTACATTAAAAAACCGACAAGTTTAAACTTCGATAAGTTTAGAAAAGTGCTCGAGAACCCACTCCAATGGATTATACGCGACATACAATGACCATTTAAGTCAGATTATAATCCTTTGGAATCTTTTCTGTAATAAATGGATAAGATCGGGGTATGATATTGTCTTACGGATTGATATATAGTCATACTGGTCGTAGCGTTGTAGGATTATTTAACTCTGCATGCTTAGTCGATTGCTCGATGTTGTACATACACATATGTACCGTACTGAGCATTAATAAGGATATAACTATTGATAAAAATGCATATAGGAGCTCATGGTATGTGAAGATCATTTTTAGAACTTTATTGGATGATAATCCGATGCGTGAATAATATTTGAGCAGAGAATATGTATAACTAAACTGACTGGAGCATTAGTAAAAGAAGAGGCAAGTGTCTTCTGCCATGCTTTTAGACAATACTTCATTATTAACGAAGAGGATACATTAACATTTATCCCTGTATTAACGTTGGCTGAATAGAATTCAAATTGCCGTAACATGAAATAAAAATATACATATAAAAAGATTAATGGAGTGAAAACGAAAGAGTGCCCTTTATAAGAAAATAATGGTACAAATTTTGCTCATTTTATGAACTTTCATGAAATGTGGTAAAAAAGATTTGACATTAAATTGAAACTTTGTGCAACGCTTATGACGGTATTTCCTATAATCGATGCGTTTGCGCACTGATACAAAACTACCGTATCATACAATCAAAAGTTATTTTTTTCTATATATGTCTACATCTATACCATTGCACTTTATATCTTTGTAATCGAAGGGAAATATGATAAAAGAAAGATTGATTGTAGAAAGTGCATTTGGAAATTGCAACAAATCATCGTTTGTAAAAAAACAAATGCCTCATGCTCCAGTCAATCGATGTACGACCAGATGAGGCATAAAAAAACGTAGACATAATAAGGTAGAGATAACGAGTCGAACAAATAAACGGATTTGATGTTTAGACGCTGCCTCCGTTATGTGCCCTGCCGCAGAAAAATAAGATTACAGACCCATGTACCCACCTCCCGAGATCGGTATATGATATGAAAAATAAATTCACATTAAAATAAAATTGGCTGTATTTTTTTGTTTACCTGTACATATCCATCATAATCAATAAAAGCACACTTTCTATTCAGAATCAGTGATTTATTGTACAAACTATATCACGCGTGTTACCTATAAACATATCATCACTAACTAATTGAAATTATAAATTACAATTATAAATATTTTCTTCTCTAAATTGTTCCTATTGAGAGTGAAACATTAAAAGTTATTTTTTGTCTTTTTAGATAAAATTACGAATAGTAAAATTTTAAAGTAGTTTGAAAAAAGTATCATAATTGTTCAATAATTTTATACAATAATGATTTAATAACATAATAGGATATTTGTAAATATTGTAATCAAGAGTTTTAACAAGTGATAAACAT